AACCACAGTTTTAACTGTGACCCCAATGAAGTTGGGGTCCTTCATTCTGTCCAGTTTCTCCTTATGTATATTTTTCATTCACAGAAGGGCGTATTTAACTGTACCATTTCCATGTTCATTGGTAAGCATTTCTCAGAAACCATGACAACTATTTTTTAAAATGATTTTTGATGGTGGAACGTTGGAAGACATTGCTGGTTGGTCAGCATCACAGCCTTCCTATGGCCTAGCAGCTTATCTCAATAAGCTCAGCAACAGGGAAATTCCTCCCTCCAGCAGAACTTCCTGCCTCTACCTGCCCTAATCTGGAGAATGTCCCTGGACCTATCTAAAAGCTGTTCCTAAAGCATCTGCTTGATTTATATTTAGCTTGATCCTTGGCACAGATGCCTGCTAAGAAGATTTGCTCTAGGAGCTCTGTTATAGGACCCTACTGCTAAATACTGAATCCTGTGATAGGAGCATACCACCTAATGCAAATTAGGGTTTTCCCCCAGACTCCTCAATCCTATATATTCCTATATACTCTAGAATAAAATTGAGCTGATTTACTGAAATCTGTCTCCCGCAGGGCTGTATTCGGCCATGCTCATTGGCCATAAACAAAGCTTTCTGCCTCTATCCCCTGGTGGCTAACAGGCTGAGAAGGAAAGAGGACCCCCACGGTGGAATTTAAACAGTACTTGCACATATCATATAGAAGGTTATTCTATATGCTCATCTGATTAACTTTGTTATTGCTATAGAATTACACTCACTATGATTTAGAATTACTTATAATTCGTTTTAGTATGTATTGTTGATTGTTTCTCACTTTCAGACTTGCCTCTCTTTGTAGTATTAAAGAGGGTGGTGATAAAAATAGGTGTGTCTGTCTCATCAACTGTTTGTACTTGGAGAGCCTGTCATCTAGCAATATAGAATCCAAGCAGTGCCCTCAAACTGATGAAGTCAATCTAATTTTTATATTAATTGTACTGTTTATAATATAATTGTATAGGAAAGACATCTTAAACCTCAAATAAATGTCTGATTTATAGATTGAAATATAGATTGAAATTAATTGGTGAGGATGTTTGAGAGAACTGATAAGGAGCTTGCTACTTTATAGTAGATAAAAATCCCACAATTCCTAGCCTGACTCTCATCTCCTTGGTCACTGGCCCCTAAAGAGAGATTATGTAATTATGTAACTTGAAAACCTGGGCTAAGACCACAAAGAGTTCTTGGACTAGTTTGTCAGGAAATTTAGCATTGTCATCTATCTAGTTCGACATTGGGAAAAATGAACTGGAAAGTTCATTTTGCACAGCTTTTTTTTTTTTTAACCATTGGTCATGTACAGTTTTTGTCCTGCAAGGATCTAGACTACTGTAAGGTAATTAACTCCTGAAAAGTACTTGGAGGTACCTTTATTTATTAAAATAAAATGCCAAAGCGATTTTATGCTAATATTGGTTTCATCTACCTACAAACATGACTAGACCTTTTTTACTTTAGGAATTCATTTTTTTCCTTTGGTGTTTGCTTAATTTCTGCTAGAATATTGCTTCTCAATATATCTCTACATGTGTGGTTCTGGGCATTAAACTCAATACCCTGTGTATGCTACACAAATCCTCTACCATTGAGCTGTATCTTTGAAGCTATGGTAGTGTGTGGTTCTTCACTGTGAGCTCTAGCTCTGGGAAAGTTGTAATTGTATGAGCCCATGCATGTTGAGAGCAATTGTCTCACTTGTGCAAAGCTCTGAGGTCAATTTTAAGCACTGCAAAACACAACAGTTACAATTTTAAAACTAGCCTTTCCCCCATCTCTCATTGTCCCTTTCCCTAATTAGCATTCTCTGGTTTGTTCTAGGATGGCCTGGATTCTGTTGGAGGAAGCCGAACAAAGCAGGAGAGTGCATGGATATTCAGACTGTGGTACGGCTTTGATCACAAGTATCCTTTAGCCTTCTCCTGGGCTCAGGAGACATTAGTGACAACATCCACTGTCCGAGCCACACATGGGGGCGGCATCTATCAAGGTCCAGCCTTGACAGGGTTCACACATTCCAGGGTAGGGGAATGCAGATTAGAAAAAATTAGGTAGGAGGAACAGAAATATGAAAGAAATGCGGAGACATAGGCTAGAACCAGGAGGGCCATCCAGTGAATACCCAATATGCCTGTATTTATTTTCCCTATGTTTATGTATCCCAATCCAAAAAGGGGGGAAAGAAGACAAAAGACTGCTTTAACATGACACAAAGGACAAACAGAACAATCACCTGCTTCAATTCTTGAGACATCAAGCCACTGTTTTCTGAGTTAAGCATTCTGATGTTTTAGGCAGTATGTGCAGTGACTACATCTTAAACCAAGTTTCCTGTAGGAACCACTCCCTGTCTTATCCTTGAAGGAGCAGGAATAGGCTTGAATTCTCTGATGTTTGGTCAAGGTGGAGAGGCTCCAGCTCTATGGACTGTCTTAATATCCAAAACACCCTAGGTCAGGATATCTTGTTTGTAGTCACTCCTTAAGACATGTGTAGGTTCAGTGTTAGAAGACAGTTTTCCAAGGTTGTAATACTATTTCACACATTCCTAGTGTTTGAATGTTCTAGTTGCTCCACATGTTTTGTTGTTGTTGTCGTCTTCTGATTTTTATTATTGTATTTTTTACTATGGCTTTAATTTGTATTTCTGTCTGTGACAGCTCATAGGATTGAGGACTCTCTTCACACATTTACTGGTCATTAACTATGTTCCTTTATGAAATGCTTGTACATTTCTTGCCCATTTGTCTATTGGGCTGTCTGCAATTTTCTTACTAATTGGTAAGAGTTCTTTATATAGCTGAATTTATACCTTTTGCTGGCTATATATGATAAAATACCTTCTCTCCTTGTCTATTCACTTTCCAAATCAAGTCTTTTGAAGAGCAGAAACTTTTAATCTGGTTGATTGATCCTATTCTTGTTAGTATCTTTTGTGTATTGCTTCAAAAATCATTGCATCTCAAAATCATACACCCAGTGTCCTAAATTGTCTTTTTCTTGTGTATATGTCTTCTTTTCTGAATGACAAACATGAGCAAAGACAACATCTAGAGGTAACTTGAGTTGCTCTGGATGATGTTTCTCCTTCAGAGATGATTTAAGGATTTCAATTTAGGACTGCTCCCAGTTAGCATCAGCAATACGGATTCAAGATCACCTTCACCCAATCAGCAAGAAAGGTTAAAGATGGGTTCAATTCCTGCGAGGGTTAGTCTCTCTTTGCATTTCATCTAGGGTTTCAACCTAAAGCTTGTGCTGTTCACATCTCTTCCCTCAGTATGTCCTCAAGCTCCAGTCTCTGTCAGTCTCAGTCTGTTACATCTGAGTCTGCCAGATTCTCTCCTCAGCTTTTCAGGCTCACACATTTGGTGCTTCCTTCCCAGACTTCTGCCCTCTTCATTGCCTTAGTCACTTTCTGAAGCCATCAGGCAAAGGACTTTGCCTTGTTTCATTTTCTGTTGTGTAGGTTTTCTTGTTGGTCTAGTTAATATTTTTTGTTATCTGAAACAGAACTTCCAGAAATTTCTTTAAAGTCATGTGAATTTTGTCTAAATGGTAATTCAGAAAGCATGTTGTTCCTTAGGCTTTGAGAGGATAGAGAATATTGAAGAGCAGCTGCAGAAGGACGAATGCTAAATTGATTGAAGAGAAACAGAAAGCTAAGTAACATGAGAGTGTATCTCAAAGATGAAGGGTGTTGATTTGTACATGAATGACTCCTACTGGTTTAAAGGACCTCCTTCCCCCACAAGCCCTAAAATGGGGTAGACAGGCTTCCAGTTTAAGATGTGTCCACATACTCTCCCTTCTTTTCCCAGGCCTCACAGAAATCACAAAAGTTGTATTTTTGGTCACTTGAAAAGCCAAAAATCGGTAGAAGGAATTAGAGCAGGCAAAATAGAATCAAAGACAATTATGAGTTTTAGCCAGTTTGTTTAGCTGATTTATTCAAGACTGTTGTTGGGAACAGCTGTAGCAGTTCCTTCTTGTCAACAGATTGACTAATAGCTGTTAGTTTTCCCCCAGTCCTTAGACATCTAGAGAAAGTAGAAACCCTTGACGGGGGGTGGGGTGGTATTAGTAGGGAAACAGATCTTGAGGACATCAGATTTTTCTGCCCAGAGTAATCCTCTCTGGTTTTGATTTTTAATACCATAATAGGGGTCCCCATCCTACCTGATGAACCAAGATACTGAATAAATACATGAAGGAGTGGGGATGTTGAAATAATTAAACAATTGCAGATGTTTACTGTTAAAAAACCTTTAGCGAGGCATGATGATGTAAACCCATATAAAAGTTCCCGGCCAACACAGCCTATATAATGAGTTATAAGCCAACCTGAGCTTCAAGGTGTGAGACCTGATCTCAGAAGTCAAAAAACAAACAAATGGACAAACAGAAACCATAAGAAACACCCAAAATATTTCCTGATAAAATGTTTAGAAAGAAATGGGAGATTTTTTCCAGTCATGAAATAAGGGCAAGTTATTAGAAAATAGTTCAAAAAGAAAAGAAAAAATCTTGGAAATTAAAAATTAGTTTTATAGTCAGGCAGTGGTGGTGCACGCCTTTACTCCTAGCACTTGGGAGGCAGAAGCAGGCTGGTCTCTGTGAGTTTTAGACCAGCCTGGTCTACAAGAGCTAGTGCCAGGATAGGCTCCAAAGCTACAGATAAACCGTTGTCTCGAAACACGCCCCCCCCCCCCAAAAAAAATATTTAGTTTTATGCCTGGGTATGATGATGCATGCTTATAATCTCAGCACGTGAGAAACAGAGGCAAGAGAATCAGGATTTCAAGGTCAGCCTGGACTTCATAAGACCCTGTCTCAAGTTTTTCAGAAAATAACCCCGCCCCCCAAATGTAATGAATAGTTGTACATAGCAAAGACCAAATTGTTGACTTGGAAAATAAAGTTGGAGAAAAAAACTTCAAGTATTAGCAAAAGTTAAGAGACATGTTGAGAGAAGAGTGTCAGCTCCAGATGGCTCACATTACTCAGCCTCCATGGGATTTACTTCTAACTCCATGAATTTTTCCGTGTTTTAACAACAGGTATGTGTATAAAAGTATGTTCTCTAGTCAAAGTGTAAAATCCAGTGTGAAACTCTTTAGCTTTAGAATGGCTATTCTAACCATACAGAAGTTCATTCTGGTAAACTTTATTTTGATGTGTGATATTTTTACTTGCAAGTTCTTTATAATAAAGTTTTAATTAAAATAGAGAATGATAGAATATATATGACATGATGGCAAAAACAGGGACTATTTGGGGGAGGTAGGGAACCAGCAGAAAATAGGATAGGAAGGATGAAGGAAAGGGACAAATAAGAACAAAGTAAAATAATATACATGCATGAAAATGCCACAGTGAAACACATTACTTTGTTTACTAACTTAAAATATAAACCCATTTTAAGAAACTATATACACATTTACATATGTGTTTTTAAAGGGCATTGTTCCAGGACTTCTCAACATGAATTAAAAAGGGCTTGTCTTTGAAGTGCCCAAAGCAGGGAACAGAAAGGAAGCTTCTGGCTTGACCTTTGACATGGTAGAGATTGAAGCTCTTGCCACCTTCCTAAGTAAAGACAGGAGAGAAATGACTGCCCTGTAGTGGCCCACATCCATCCCAGAGCCTGCTCTTAAAATCAGCAATCACACAGCAGCTTGTTTTGTCTGCAGAGAGCTCCAGCAGAACCCTTATTTCTGTCGTTTATCAAAGAGTTTTTCTATTATTTAAAAGAGTTAAATAATTCACAACTAGAAGCATACATTGGTGTCTTCTCCATAAAGCAACCAAATTAGGTAAGTAAGAATATGTACTCCAACAAATTCAGTGTTCTTTTCGCTTGCTTGTTTGTTTGCTGGCTGGCTTTGGATTGATTGTTTGGAGGTTTTATTATTTGAGAGAAGCTCATAGTAGTGCCCAGGTCACCATTAAACTCTTTAACCTTGCTGCCTCAGCCTCCCAGGTGCTGGGATCCCAGATGTGTACCATTGTGTTTGACTGAATTAATTCACTATTCTTCTGACTATTAGATATCATTACCCTAAGAGTTACCCATGTGCACCTAGACACCATGGAGACATCTTCACTTTTTGTTCTTATAGATGTAAGGGTTACCTGTGTTGTACTGAGAAGATGGGAGGCAGGGAGACTTTGTGTGTAGAATGTCAGATAATCTATTCTTCTTTGGGTTTTAAAAATGCATTCTACTTTGTGTATATTTTCATTGCAGCCATTCTTCCTTAATTCCCTCTTTAAAGTTACCTGAAGCCCATTCTTACTCACAGTGGTCCCCCGCTAACTACCACTCTTCCAGCCTGGTGTGGCTTGCTAGCTCGATGTCTGACCAGTCCCCAAGTGTATGATGTAAGTACTGCATTTAGGTCTGTGTTCCTGCTCAATGGGTAGTCTCTTACTTAGGAAAAAACACCACACTCCAAACTCCAGATCCATAGATTTGGCTCATCTAAGAAGATGATCAGAAATGGTGTGTGTGCGTTTGTGTGTGTGCATATGTATGTGTATGTATGTACGTAACTACGTACGTATGTATGTATTATGTGTGTTCATTTGTTTGGCACAATAACAGAAAAATCTTTTAACAGGGTTATATGGCTTTCCAGTGTGGGCAGCTGTGGTTGGGAATTCAAGTGACCAGACTGCAATTCAAGCCCTCACAGGCTACTGAAAGTACTCTATACCCTTTTTCCTAATTGTACTATGGGCCTACTAGTGCCAGCTGGTGTGAGCATTAAATAAGATTCATCAAGACACACCACAAACCACAAAGCAGCACACCAAGTTAAGTATTTCCTTCCAAGTAGTTTATTTATGAGTGTGGTTAGGTCCTCTCTTTCCGTTTTCTGGTGCTAGAAATGGAGTCATCACACTTAGGAAAAGAATGGCCTTGCCATGGATGTCTCAGACTTAGGGCTGAACTTGAGCCCCCAATGTGGGTTGCAGGGAATATAGGTAAAGAGAACAAGCAGCTGTCTATAATCGAAGTAGTAGAAAGGAAGCTAGAGCTTCCTCCTCTCCATTTCTCTCTCACCATCCCAAGATGATAGATAGTCTTTGCCCAGAAGGAAAAGAGCCTCACAGCTGTCAAAGGCTTGTTTCATTCTCAGCACACTGTGAAGGAGCAAATACTGCAGCAATATAGTTGAGGAGAGCATATAATCTCAGGGACAATGTAGGCTGTCCATGGCCCATGATTAGTAATGGACAAAACTGAGACCCTAAAACAGGTCTCCAAACAATCTGCAGTTGATTTCATCAGTGACAAGAAAGTAGAAGGCCAACCAAGATCTGAGGCAGGAGGGCCCTCAACAATGGGGTCAGGAAACATGGTACACATTCAGAAAGGAGAAATAACAGAAAGGGATATGTATGCCATAGCTAGCATAGTTGGGATATCAGATAAGTGCAACCACACCAAAAGACCCAAGACGAAAACAGGATTCTTAGATGCCATACTCTTCCTTTGAGAACAGGGATTACAGTTACCAAGTCACCGTGCATCTGTAACCCAGTGTTGCTGTGCAATGGGAGAGACCAACAGAAACTAAGGTTTTTACTTATCCCTCTTTGAGGAAGGCTACCATTGAAAATGTGACAGATAGGTTGTCAGTAAGTAGAGAACAATCAAAGAATCATTCGATATCAACCACTGCCCTCCATGTGCAGGTGCACGCACACATGCATCATGAACACAAGTGACAGAACTTTGTTCTTGTAAAGCAGCTGGGCTGTCTCTTTGGGAGAGTGGGTTGTGCCATGGAAAAATATAATTCTGTCTCAGTCTTTTTCTCACATATTCACCTACTGTGAAGAGAACAACATTCATACCTTCTTGTCTTAAAGATATCTGAGCTTCCTAGCATCCCCAGCTCTTCCTCCCATATTCAAGTGAGACTTTTGTGACCCCTGGAATAGACTACTTTAAGTTATAAGAAAAAGGCCTTTGAGGATGTAGCTCAGTGGAAGAATGCCTGCTTAGTGATTATGAAACCCTGGGTTCCATTCCCAGCACTGGGGAGAAAAGGGGGAAAAGACTGTGAATGGGGCATTTAAACCCAAAGCTTCAGCCACTTAAAATAAACCTTCTCTGATCTGAAGCTGATTAATTGCCCCCTTTCTCAGAGATTAGGAATATTCGAAATCGTCTGACAACAGTAAGTTTCTTGCAGTCACAGAAACCAAGTGTCTTTCAGCACTTCAAGACACTACTCAAGGTTTGCTCCAGGAATAATATTTGGGCTCTGGGCTTCACACACCCATCCAATCTTGAACTACCAAGACAAGAACCACCCTTGTTGCTGATGCTGTCCATTTGGGCTGAGGTTCTTTGGCCCAGCATCTTAGCTATTTCCAGATATGGCGAGGCCTCCTGTTGAGTGAAAACAGTCTTATCAATTGTATTAACAATTGATATGTATTATAAATTGAGGAATCCAAAGTTGAGAAAAATAGAGGGGCTTCTTCTAGTTAGTGCCAGGTAAGAGTTGCTAACTGGGTAGGTCTCATGGCCATTTGACACCTGTTGTGTGGGTTCCTACTCATCATCTATAGACTTTTTTTTGAAACAGGGTTTCTCTGTAGCTTTGGTCCTTGTCCTGGAACTAGCTCTTGTAGCCCAGGCTGGTCTTGAACTCACAGAGATCTGCCTGCTTCTGCCTCCCAATTTCTGGGATTAAAGGCATGCGCCACCACCACCTGGCTCTATAGGCTATTTTTAATAGGTGAAATTTATTTGGAGAGCTTTGAGGTGTTCACAATCCATTATTTACATTAACCATAACTCATTTATGTCTCAAATATACCTTGTATACATAGCCTAAAGTTAATTTTATATTTATAATAATTTCATACATGAAACAATATTTGAACCATGAGACTTTTGGCATTATGTCATGATGTTATGATAAAACCTGTTGTTTTATACAACTAATAAAAACTGTAAAAAGGTAAAGATAGTACTCAAAAAGCTTGGATTATGGCTCAGTTTAGGCTTGGGATTCTTATACTAAAGAAGCCTTTGTCAACTAAGCATCACTTAGGAAGACAAGAAGAAAACCATGGATGTTATCATTGAAGTGGGGAGTTCACATGCCAACCGGGGGGGGGGAACACCCATAGTTTTGCACAGCATGACTTAAGGGGGCTGGATAGAAGAGGTTTTGATGTCAGTCTACAGGACACAAGACTTCAGAAGAGTTTGGAAGGGCTGATGGGAAATGATAGAACAGACATCTCAGGTGTCCTGACATACTGCTTGCCATTTGAGAAAGCCCCTCCTAGTATTGGAAAGATAACAGCACAGACAGGAGCAAGGTCATGGTTTCTTTTGCTGTGCTGTGAAAGCACAGAGAATGCAAAAGTCTATGTGAACTCACACTGTCTCCTGACTCTCTCCCCACTATCTGATAACTTCAAGGATTTATGACCTTGCTAAGCCCTCCTTGTTTATTCTTTTCCATTCTGAACCTTTTTCTGACCCACTAATTTTTTTCCACATCTTTTATGTGGATCAAACTAGGCTGGAGGCAACACAAATTTTAGCTCTACTTCCTGTCAGCTGGACAACTTTTTGGCACATTCCATGAGTTCTCACAGCATGGGTTTCCTACTGTGATGCTGGTGCCCATACCCTTTATTGGCAGGCGAGCTTATGGGAGGGTTCCACGAGGTATTTAATAAAGGCTCTTAAAGTGCATTCTCCCTATCAATCAGTCACTTGGTCCAGCTGAAGATGTGGAGACAGTAGAGGGAAAAAAAGAAATCCTCACGATGGTTTACTCCCACCCTTGCAGGCTAGGGGAAAGGCTTGCTTACATGTAAACAGGCAGCAGACCCACCCAGAAGACCTGTTCAGTAGGAGAGAAGCAGAGCCTATTTGAAGTGTTTATTCATAGCTTTCCTGGTAACATTATTTCTGTATGTGTGGGGAAGTTGAGAATGCAGCCAGCCTGCTTTCTTCTCTTAGATACTAGCCCCTGAGCTATCATGCATCTGAAATCTAATCTGCCTGGTTTAGGCAACATTGCTTTGATTGAAAACACCATAGTGTCTATACAGTGACTACACCAAGGATGTAGGTCAGCAAATTTCATAAAATCCTTAGGTTTTATTTTTTAAGATTTTTTAAATGTATGTGTATTTGGGTATTTTTAGTATATGTGTATTTGTGTGCCTGGGTATATGTATGTATACATACTAAATGTGTGCTGGTACCCACTGAAGCCAGAGGGTTTTGGATCCCCTAGAACTGGAATCACAGGTAGTTGTGAATTGCCTAATTTGGGTGCTAGTAATTGGACCTGGGTCCTCTGCAAGAGCAACAAATGTTCTTGACTGCTATAGCCCCCCTATAGCCTTGGTTTTCTGATATGAGGATTTGGGGTTAGGTTGCCCCAGCTCTGGAAAATCTCAGGCTCCCCTTTTATTGGTTGTACCTTTCAGAACCAAGAGCCGCTGAGAGAAGATGACTCTGATTTCATCCTGACGGAGGGTGACCTCACTTTGACCTATGGAGACAGCACTGTGACAGCAAATGGCTCCTCGAGCTCCTACACTGCCTCCACAAGTCTCGAGGGCGGTCGGAGAACAAAAAGCAGCTCGGAGGAAGTGTTTGAACAAGACCTGGGAATGGGAGATCACAAGGTTTCCAGTCGGGGTACCCCCCTTGTGTTTCCACTACAGGAAAATGCATGACTTCACCCTAAGTCCTGAAGGATCAGGGAGGCTCTCATGAGGATGAGGATGGCCAAATGTTCCAGTGTGTTTGAGGTGTGACATTGACTGGGTTAAACTAATGCTTCTATTTCATTGGGCCCTGAAACTATCATCACTTAAAACTTAACCCAAAACTCGGATGCTGGAGCTAAAACGTCTCTAAATTAAGACAAATGCAGACCTAGTCCCACTTTTTCACATAGTAGTACACTATTTCAGAGTTCAACAAAGTAATAGCATGCTTTAATTGTTTCTCACTTCACTTCCTGCAGCATCTGACAATGGTGGGGCAGATGTGTGGCAGATACAGGGCTGTATTGCCAGTCTAGCTGGCTTTAAGGAACATTAAGTTGGGAGGACAAGTTAGACAAAAGACAGTGAAGAAAGGAAAATGAAATCAGACTCAGTGGTGCTAGATGCTGGTGTTACACCAGACAGTAGAGCCCCTGGCTCTGAAGACTTACACAGCTGCATCCTCCTGTCAGAGTCCTAGCTGTTCCATCTATGTTGCTCCTAGACTGAAGATTAGGAAGCATGTCCATAGGCTGGGGCATTAGCTCAATGGCAGAATGCTAGAGTGCTTGCCTACAATGCAGAAGACCCTGGGTTCCATCCCCAGCACTGCAAAAAGTGTGTGAGTGGTGGGGAGTTTCCGAGAGCATTTCAGTATGGGGGAAAGAACTCTAGTTCCTTCTCTGGAAATCTCTATAAAAGAGTTACTGAAATGTTTAAAACTAAAGACAAATCATGTTCTGTTTTCTTAATTAATATGAGGACAGGAGGTGTTGAGAACCTGCTGACTATATCACTGCAATACTCAGTTGACTTTGGAGGCTACCATGTGAGCCCACTGCCTGGACGGTCACTGCTAGACTGAGGTGTAGCTACCACAGGGTTTGAGATAACATGGATACTGCTATTATCTAGAGAAGAGAAGGCAGGAAGAAACGCAAGAGGCCGCAGACTGTGGTTAGAGGAAAGATTTCATTGTGAATAATAACCTACAAAGAAAAGATAGAAATCTTTATTATTATTTTACATAAATTTCATTTTGAAACATCCAAAAGAGGTAATTCCAAAATCACACTCAATGGAATATAGAACTTGCTTTGTTATAAATTATGTAAATGTATATGTTCAAGTAAAGGCTGAGTTTCCAATGCCACCTATCTTTAGGACAAAAACTTCAATATTTTTAATAATTCCTTTCCCATTGGTACTATTTTCAATACCTAGAAGATGAAAATCATTCTGATGCTTTTATTTTGATCTAAACTTTTGTTGCTAAAATTAAATATCCAAAACCCTTTAAATGATTTAACATTTCTGCTCTTCCAGGGAAGAAAGGGAAGTCCAGAAAAAAAATCAGACTTCTTAAAACTATTAAATGACTGGCATTCTGATCTCTGACCACACGTTTTTTTGTATAGTCTGATAACTCCAGGAATCAAAGCTGACTCATCTCTTTGTATGTGAGCGGTGGTATTGGTCAAGGAACATCCCTGTAGCAACCTTCTCATAGTCTAGGTCTTATTGCCATGCTCCATTCTGATTTTTGAACCTTTTCTTCTAGCCAATCTGATTTGGTTTACTTTCTTCAGGAATTATCTTTGGTATACTTAGCTATGTTCAGATAAAGAGGATTATGTCTGCCTAAAGTCTGAAGTAGAAGGTGAGGAGGGCTAGGCTTTAGGCAGATCCACCAGGCAAACTGGAGAACTTCTGGACAGACTATGAGGCTTACCTTGCTGTGGCTAATGACCATGCCCCAAGATTGTCCAAATCAGACCTTCTCCATTCTAGTGGTCAAAGGTAGTCCTATTTTTAAAATGTTGCTTTAACCAACTGGCTCTGTCTTCATGGGATTCATTTTCCTCCAATCCCAGATGAAAACTGCCTTCTGGAAAGCTTCTTCATCTAAAACTTATTTTCCTGGTGGTGAAGCAGTACCAGCATCACATACTGTAGTGAGTAGCTGCTGGAAATGGTCTTTTCATCAGTTGTTTACATTGCTGAATCTGTAACTCCAGCATCTTGAGTTTTTGAAAGTTCACAGTCTTGTCATGATGCTATATCTTCATCATTCAGATCTTCTCAGTGTATCTTGTATAACTCGGTTATCAAGTTTTCAATGTGATTTCAATATTCTCTACTGCTTTTTTGTATTATTTTAAGCTGTTCTTGAGGTTTTACAGGGGAGGTCCCACATGTTGGCCCTGGTCAGCTCTCCAGTGTGATCTCCTCTGTCTGAGGTAACAGTTTCTGTATCATCTGCCATTTTTTTTGTGTTTCCTTTGGGGGGTGGGATTCAGCATTTTTCATTAGAATTTCTTCATGATGATCAATTTATAATCATTCGAGCAGTTTCCTTTTTGTTCCTGGATTCTGTTTTGCCCACTCTCTGGCAGCCTATGTATGCAGAATTTATAATAGCTGTGGTTGGTTTTCCTGTTTATAACAAGTTGATTGTTTCATGCTCTTGTTCTTTTCGTGTCGTGGTTGTACTGAGTAGCTTAGCCTGCAACATTAGTTTGAAAATTCTATACCTCATCTTTCTCATTTTTTTTAGGAGATTCTAATTCTTGCATAATAAACCCCTCTCTCCTAAAGTCTAGACTTCTCTCCTGGGAGATTCTAGTTGCTCCCTGAGTTGCTTAGCAGGCCTGCAGAGGCCCATAGCACTTTCCAGTTTCAGATTATGTGTTTTCCCATTTTTCTAAGCTGCAAGGTTCCTCCTGTGAAGTACAAGCAGCTTACCCGGAGTTTAAAACAAACTATACTTAATTATCTGTCTTTTTATTCTTAGATTTTTCATATAATAAATGAAACTAAAAGTAGTCAACTCTTGATCAACACATAGAATATTTTAGTCAATATTCTCTTCTGTGCATACTTAGTAAGAAAGGCATTTGCTATTGAGAATATGTTTGATTGAGGTATTTTTATTTCTGAGGTATATTGAGAGATATTTTTTGCTTTCTGCCATCATACCTGGAATTATTCCATTCATCTAGTTTCCAGAGTCAGGGTACCCAAGGAGTCCATTACAGAAGTGAAAATCTTAGAGCACCTGCTTGTCATACAGACATCTCCACCAAGGCCCCAGAGCTGCAGAGTCAATACCGCCTTCTTTAGCAGTCCTATAGGCAGCACAGACACCAAAGGAAATAGGAAGGAGCTGCCTGCTCTTACTGCACTGTAGACTCCTGCTCTACTCAGTGAGGCCAGTTGTGCTCCATAGAAGTCTTAAAACTTAGAACTTCCGACATTGAACTGATGCATGCTGCAATATTAGTGGCTACATGAGGAATCAGAAGCAAAGCAATGGAACATAATCCAGTAGAAAATGCTGTCTTCTATAAGTTTAGGAATTCATGTGTCTCTTGAGTACTATGCAAAGAGATGTCATTTTTTTTTTGGTGGAGAGGCTACTGCACCCGCTTAATATGGACATAGTTTGAAATATGGCATTTCAGTTTAAATTTTTTCCGAATGAGCTATCCTAATTTACCTACTCTTAAAGTAGGTAAAATACTGAAAGAAATCCTAGAGTTTCTTTCCATGTCTTACAGTGCTAGCAGTTTGGGGAACTCAATTTCTAAAAGATGTTTTTATAATGTGGTGGCTTTTCTCCCCACTTCATACAAAATAATGCTCACAAGCACTAGGACATCAACCTTATTATTAACCTTATTAACATCCTAGTCTTAGCATAATCCTGTTGTGTTCCTCTTAAAGGGTCTTATAATCTTCATTATTTTGAAAAGTAGCCCTGATCTTTACTTGCAAAATGTGGAGACTAACCCTGACTTCCCAACAGTTCTCAAAGATGAAGCTACCTGGGTTGGAGAGATGGCTCAGTGGTTAAAAGCACTGATTGCTCTTTCAAAGGTCCTGAGTTCAATTCCCAGCAACCACATGATGGCTCACAACCATCTGCAATGACATTTAGTGCCCTCTTCTGGCCTGCAAGCATACATATAGGCAAAGGACTGGATACATAATAAATAAATAAAATCTTTTTTTAAAAAAATGATGAAACTACCTATAGAAGTGGTTTTGCATTGAAGTGTTGTCCCCAGGCTGCATGGAAAAAAGTAGGGGTGCCACAAAACCCTGAAACTGCCTACTTCAAAGGCAGCTATCTGGAAACGAGACTGGAATTGCTGAGTAATGGTCAGGCTTATCTCAGAAAGTAATCCAAGTCATCTTTCAAACCTGTTCATTCTGAGTTGAGGGGGATGACAATTCTGCGGACTGGAATATTCTAGATCAGGCATTCTGAACTCAGACTGCTGTTACCTTTCTATGATCTTGAATTTAAAAAATGCAAGGCCACAGGTTTGGATTAGCTGTAGAGCACTTCCTAGTATGCCAAGACCCTGGGTTCTAGTCCCAGGTATGAAAATAAAAAGGCCAGTTAAAGGTATAGAACCCTCAAGATTTGGATTTTGCAGCTTCAGGGTGGGGTCTAGCATGTGTGGTTTGTTTTGAAAGTTCTAGGATACCTCCTGTGTAGAAGGTTGAGCCTTTTGCATGTTTACAAGGAACGCTTTAAAAGCTTCGTTAAAGGAATGTTTGTTTAGTAATTGTTAGTGACAAAACTGAAACTGATTGCTAATACAGACTAGGCCACTGGAAAACGTTCCTGCCCATTTTGCAGAAGTCAAGGTTGTCTTCCACATGAAAACAATGACTTGAAGGAGAGCTGAGAGTGACGTGTGTGTGTGTGTGTGTGTGTGTGTGTGTGTGTGTGTGTGTGTAGATGAATCTCACACTTGTCATCTTTATTGGCACTTGTGATTGGGGAAGGGAGTTTTTGTCTTTGATCTGCTGAGTAGTTCAACCCAAAAGGATTCTGGGAAGCTGTCCTTTCAATTCAGTATGGAATTAATAGTTCCTTTTTGTGGTCAAACTTTGTCTTGTGAGTCCACATGCCTTATCCACAGAATAAGGCAGCATGGGGAAAGGTTGTGGTTACTCTGTTGTCTCATGTCAGCAGTAGTACAGCTCTGATAGAAGATAAAACCCCACTCTTGTTTTTCATAATGCTCCCGTGGGAACGACCTGGAAAGCCAAAGCTTTCCTAGAGAGGGAATTCTGGTATGTAAAACGCTTGTGTGTTTCTTCCTACCAACCCTGTAGAAAGGGCATGCCAACTCTGTCATCCAGGGTACTTCTGAGAGTGACCATGATGCCCTGGAGCCAAACAAATCATGCTGTGATATCAAACGTCTCATCAAGCAAACAGCAAGGTGCACTTTGGGTTGGATCCTCTAGACCTCTAACCTTGTGGTCTAAACTTGTGGTTTCATAGAAAAATAAGATCTCTTTTGATAAAAAGGGGAAAAAAAAGGTTGTCTCATCTGTATGGGACCAGTTTTATCTAGAGCAAAGATTCAGTTCCTTCCAAAAGAAAGATCTGCTTCCCATTGCCCTCTACCGTCTCTCCCTTGCCTTGTCTCCAGTACAAGTGAATGTAATCATGTCAGACAGTTAATGTGAACCATTGGTTCCCTGGTACAGAAACATCACTGAGATCAGAGGACAATTGAGCAACTCATCAGACCATCCTCTTGTAACCTGCCTTGTTCCCTCTATGAGTTCGAAGAAAACTCAAAGTAGCCCAGAGATGACATCACCATTCATCTAAAATGTCATCTGCAGAGAGGGCTGCTGGGATGGCAGCTTGCTGAGCAGATCCTTACAGCAGAGAAACTTGGGTGCTTGAGAGCTTCACTCCTGTATTTTGATGTTGACTCTTAAGATAGGGCAGACCCTCTCCTGTGCGTTGAGTTTGAGCTCTTCAGCTGTTTTTTTTTTTTTTAAGTGACTTTGGTTTGCCAGCATCAGCTGCTGTGTTCTAAGGCAGTAAGTTGAATGAAACTCGTGACCAAGAGTTTACTTTAGAAACAACACATCTGACACCTAAAATGACTTCACCCCCTTTTGAAAACCTAGTTTGACAGTCCATAGAAACGTATCATAGGAATGAATGTGGTAGCATCAAACAGAAAAGCATTCTCTGACGATTCTTTCAAAACAGGACCAAAAAAAAAAAAAACAAAACAAACAAAAAAAAAACCTATCCTATCCACCTTCCAGTTTTCATACACATATGTCAAATTAGCAGATATATCTTATTACTAACTGCTGGCAAATTATAAAGAGCAAAACTAAAGTTTTTAATGTTCATTTTATATTTCTAAGCAGGGCATGCTATAACTGTGACCCATTTGAAACATGTGGGCAGCAAGCCTTGGGGAACATTAAAAGGAGGGTCTATCTGTCGTGTTGCTTTTTGAGAAGGCCTGAAGTAGGTATGAGAACACACATCATCTTGTCACATCATCATTAAAAGGGCACAAGAGAATCTCTAAATGTCCCAGTTTACCTTCAATTCTTGGCCAGTTGGAAATGTTTCTGACTATATATACTGTATATGCTGAAGAAACTGAGCCGGCAAAAGAAGTGACTATCATGAGGCACTGAGGGTTTTCTACTGAAAGCACTTTTCAGAAAGTGGCCATCCTGGCGTTCGTGAATAGGTACATCCAAGGGCAGATGGGCACTCATTATGATGATTCTACTTGCAGGCCGTGGAAGAACAGAGGATGGACGCTTTTCCGTTTTGTGGGTATTCCGTCTGTGGGTATATAAGTTAGTGCTGGAAGCACTTTATTTAAAATGTAACTTCACAGTAGGGCCATTTCCCTCTAGCCTTTCTTTTCTTTTTTCTTTTCTAACCTAAATCCACCTGATCCTTCTTTTTTGGCATGTTTTACTATGCCCACTATGATAATGAAATGAGAAGACCACAAAGATTCAATTGCGGGAAAGCAATTTTAAAAGCAGAATAGGGGGAATTCAGCTTGCAATGATGGGACTTTCTGGTGAACTTTTTCTAGAGGGCTGACAGTATATTTGGGAGAATTTTATAGAAAATGACATCAAAGTGTTTTAACTGTGAACATTACAGACTAGGAATTATCTGCTACATTTGTGCAATCAGGAAAACTGCAGTAGGAACCCTAAAGTGCTCTCCCCTCCTCACCTTTTACTAAATGCTCACCTTTGGATAGCTGTTTAGATTGCTATTTATTGTAAACCTAGCCTCGTGGTTTCCTGTCCTTTACTAATATTTAACATGTTTTTCGCTAAGCTTTTTTTAACAAAATTCAAAATAAAAAGATTAACTGGCCGAGTTAATGGTGTTTTGTGTTTTCAGAGCTCCTCTGCTGTATGTATACAGTGTGATCATATTTCCAGCATGGTTCTTTTTCTCACTCAGAAGTTACTTCTTTTTTTTTTTTTAAGACTATTCTCTCTAGGGAAATTCATTCAAACTAGAGTAAGATATACTTGGACCTGAGCAAATTCAGTCCACAGCCTGTGTTTGTAAATGAAATTTTATTGGCACCCATTACACTACTTGCTTGGCATGCTAGCTGGAGTTTCTTTATGTTATAGTGACAGAGCTGAGGAGTTATGGTAGAGATTCTGTGGCACATAAAGCTTGAATTATTTACTATCTTACCTTTTACTAAGAAAATCTTTTCCAATCCCTAATTTAGGTGCTTGTAAATTTTCAGCTTTGGAATAGGATATTGTGGGACCTAGAGAAACGGCTCAGTAATTAACAGCACTTATTGCTCTTGCAGAAAATCAGGAATCAGTTCCCAGAACCTACATAGGCCAGTTTATAACCACCTGTAACTCCAATTCCAGGGGATCCAATGCCCTCTTCTGGATTCTGCTAGTACTTCATAATGGTAGTGCACATAATCTCATAGAGGCAAACACATATACATAAACCTTTAGGGGGAAGAGAGAATAGGGTATCATTTGAATATACTAGTACACATCTGGAACCCAACACTTAGTAGGCAGGTACAAGTTTGAGACCAGCTTTAGCTGCAAAGACAGGTTAACACTGGGGTCTGAACCTCCATGCTAACATCTTTTTGAGATTTTTAGACTTAAAAGAAATGGTTTAAATGTGGTCTCAGCCTTGGATTCCTCCTGCCCGTAAGAGTCTCATAGGCTGTGAGTGCAGAACCCTAAAGAACGCATCACCAGGAGTTGGCAACATGAATCTGTGAGACTGAAGGGTATAAACTTGACATTGTAATTTAATAGTTTCTTGTAGAATGACTGCTAAAATTCTTGAATCCAAATGGCATAGAGATGGCTCAGTAGTTAAGAACATTGGCTTCTCTTCCAGAGGACTGGGATTTGATTCTCAGCACTCACATGTCAGTTTACAAAGCTCACAACCATCTGTAACTCCATTTCCAGTGGATCTGATTCCCTCTTCTGGCCTCCATGGGAACTAGGCATGCATATGGCACACAGACATACATGCAGATAATTCACCCATACAGATAAAATGCAATTTAAAAAGAAAATTCTTGAACCGTATATACAGTTTCCTTCATGGTTCTTATATTCCTTTTATGTAGACTACTTTTATTGAATTTAAGCAATTGACCCATTTCCCCAAATCTGCTTAGCAAAACAAACCCTGTCATTAGCTTGATGCTTGAGTCATTTAACTGCATACTTAAAAAACTACTAAATAGAACAATTTGAAAGCAAAAAAGTTTCAATTTCTTTAGATCTCCTATCCCCAGGGAAAACTGGTTCTACAGGAGGAGGGCTAATGGAAAGAAACGTAGACACAAAACCACCCAGACCTTTTATTTAATATGAAGTAATTTATTCAAGAAAGGCACAACTGCACTTGGCTCTTATTCACATTGATGACTTTTGTCCAGACATCACTGATGTGAAATGGAATCATGTCACATCTTCTTTGTTGTCAGGATGCCTTGTTGAAATGTCTCTCAAGCAGAGCCA